AGAAGAAGAAGGAGGAGAAGGAGGAGGAGGAGGAGGATAAGGCGTTTATTCATTTTGAAAGGGCCGCTTGTTGTTGTTGTTTTTTACAACCCAAACTGTGCTGTAAAACAACACAAACCTTTATTACAGCATCCCCTACCGACGAGCTACCTGAAATACGTCCAAATTAAAGAACTAACAAACTGATACAGCGTTAAATACGGCACACATGTGAAACAACCGTTGCAACGTAACGTACTCAACTGACAGTAGTAACCTTCGCCGCTTAGCTTTTTAACCTAACGTTAACTTATATTAATAGGCCGCTTACTATAAGTCAGCAGGTGTTTAACCACGAATTAAAGTCTGTTTATAAAATAACACAGTGTATTATGGTATGGCAACGTCTGAGAAGACATGTATCAACCTTTATTTATTAGGTTTGGCTGCTCCAACGCGCTTCTCCAACTGGCCACAAGATGGCGGCGTTGCGACAGCCATGAGACGGTGACAGTGCGTGTCGAAGGAGGTGGGATTTCCTCTCCTCCTTCTCAGCATCATCCTACTCCTCCTAGGGATGTGTCGGCGTGCGGTGCACCTGTTTTATGTATTATTTGGGTCATCCACCGCTGAAATGCTCTATTTTAACCAGTGTCACCAATAGCCACACGAAAAGGTTTAAACGACCTATTCGGTGGGACCCGACAGGCCTCGATTCAGTGTGATTTAGGGAGAGGATGTGTTGATTTTTTCCTCTTTCGGCTGCAGCAGTGAGACAGCATCTTTGCCGGGTGACACATCATTATCAGTGCGAGTGGACAAGGTACGAGTGAAACAACAACAGTGCAGTGTACGGTTATTTACCATAAAATACTCCTCTTTTTGTTAGCTTTTCGTCCCCAGAATTCCCCACAGTATTTATGGCAAGGCCTTAAACGCATTGACGTTAAGTACAAATGCTGTCAAATGTGTGATTAGCTAGTTGCTAATGTAGTTATGCCCTGCTAATGTCAGTTAAAGCGTTTGTTTTTCTCCCTGAATGCATATTTATCTGTGTGACTTTGTGTTTTTTCTGTTATGGTATACAATGTATGTG